GAGCGGAGGAGAGTTTCACGCAACAGGCATGGGAGATATCCGGGAAGGGTGTCACGAGCAGAGAGACGCGTCTGAACATCTCTCGTCATTCCAGGGACGGCTTTGCGCACGAGCGAGACGCATCGCCGCACCTAAAATAACATTCTAAAATGTTGAAACATCGCAGCCGCATAATAACCTCAAGTAAAGAGCGAGAAAATTATCGAGAAGCACTTACTTACAATTATTGATAATGTAATAAATAAAATTTCCCGAATAAAAAGTTGAAAATTATTTCTAGCATGCTTTCGTAATCATAAACGCGCTACAAATTTTATAAATGTTACGCAGAATCAACCAAGACTTGGATAATCCCGCGTCATGCTTCGCTTGTCTGTTTCTCGAGAAAGGCGGCCGGGAATCAGTTAAACCGCGATTAGAGTTAACCGATATTTATGGTTATTCCGCGAAACAAAGGTTCGCCGAATTTCCGCGCGGCTCGCGAAAGAAAGCAATTAATCGTACGGCTAATCAAAACGAATGACCCACGGAAGAGCGGCGCTCTAACCCGGACAGGCCGACAATAGGGCCGACAAGGCCTCCGGGTTACCTACTTTTAATTGCGAGCACGTTTTACGCTCGACGGAGCGCGCGCCGCCGCACCGGACGAGCTATAAATTTCCAGCCCGAGCGTGTATCCCCGCCGCAACCACAAAACTAATTAGTCCGGCAGTAATTAATCTTTCATCCAAAGCCGGGCGACGCATCTGTCTATCGTCTCGCGAGTGTGCCGAAGCATTCGCTGCGCGATTTCGTATCTCCTCGAAACGATCGCTCGGAGCCTATTTAGAATCGTTTCTCGATATTGCGATATCGTGCCGATATTGCCTCGACACCGCGCGTTTCTCTAAGAACCACTTAGGCGGACCACAACGTTCGATATCAATAATATTTCAATTATTGCGATATGATCTCTTTGGATATCGCCTTAACACGTTCGCTATCAAGTCACATGTGCGTGACGCACCAATTTCTCGAAAGACTGATGTTGGATATGTGTGCCATGATTACAAATTTTTTAGAATACGTAATCAGTATTTTTGTAATACCAGCTGACCTCTTTAACACATTCTGTGCGCCAACAATTGCAACGTGCGCTACGTTGAGTAAAACTATTCAAAATAGTTCATATTCAAGTAGCGAAGATTTTTCCAATCGTGGTAGGAAGCATGTTAAAGCCACGCCTCCTCTTAAGGTTCGTTTAGCTTAAATGGGTTTTCACTCACGAGTGAATTTGTCTCGAGCCTCTAATGATGCGTAATTACGAAAGCGTTGTCGACTTCCACCGGATTGCCCATGACGACTCCTCGTCCGGTTGCATCCTGCGCGGAATTTTACCCGCAATTAACCCGACACCGTCGCGTCGCGAATGTCCTTTAAGTGCATTCCGCGTTGTTTATTCGCCCCTTAATTGACGCAACGCGATAAGATACGCTATCGTCGTCCCACTTTCTAATGCTTTTCGCAATCGCACCGTGGACGCTTACGTAATCTGCCATCTGGGACAAAAAGTCTGGACGTGTTTGCTAAATTTCAGCGGAGCGAAATTTTTCCGTGTCAGCAGATTGAAAAATCGAAGCAAGGACGATACATACGTTTCACATTATTACATGAGTAAAAACAAACGTAATTTTATATATTCCATTCGCTGAATTTAGTAGCCATTTCAGGGGAGTTTTTTTTTATATCAAATTTTGATAAATTTGAGTTTTATCAAATGTAAAACTAAAAATAAGCGTAATTCATTTAAGTACATTTTGACGCTTAGTCTTCGGTCTTTATCGGAGTTTTTTATTATACATATAGGAAAATTAATAAACAATACAAGCCAATTCAAATTAGAGAAATTTATTGCGAAAAATATGTCCTCAGCCAGGGTTTGATAATATTTTTTGCAATAAATTTCTTTAATTTAAATTGGCTAGTTGTGTCGTTTATTAATTACTTACTGGCGACAACAAGTCTTTATTCTTGTTTTTTTATTATATCTTTGAATAGTTTTTTTCAAACATTATAATTCTTCGCGTGTTTTTAGTGATATCTAGAGAATCACTTGAGCACTTTAATTAAATTAAAATCGCGATTATATCAGTTAATAAGTAACGTACGTCAATAAATTAATAATTTACATAACATGCAACTTTATTATTCGCAATTTCTTATTGATGCCAATTAAGAATTTAACGCAAAAAGAAATCTATTAAAAGTGGCAGGAGAATTATGGAATCCTGGAATACTTTTACCCGAGAAGAAAGGAAGTCTCACAAGCACGTCTACCGCCGCCGCGTTGCAATCCAATTAATCCACTTGATAATTATTTTCTACCGCCCAAGCGTGCGCGCCGACTCCGTGAGAATACGGAGCGGCGGCGTGCGATCGTAATTATCTGCAGTTTATCTAGGAGCAAAACGAAGCTGAGCTCTCTTATCGCGGAACAATGGCACATCCCCCGCCGCAACGTGGACAATGCACTTCCGGTGTGCGTTTCACGCACGCGGGGACATGGACCGGCTCGCGTTTCAATTTGTACGTTGCGCCCACCGTGATATCTCATCACGCACATATGACACTGATGCCCGGTGGTAGACCGATAGATGCGGGTCGATTGTGAAAGGAAGAGTTCACTTCTCTACCAGTATCCTCGATTTTTTTGTATTTTCCTTCCACGAACCCGATACGAGCGCGTATTAAATTTACATAAATCAATATTAACCCGCCATTTACAACGCGGAATTTTGTCTAGCGCGATGTCAGAGATAAATTATTTCACTGGACTTTCTCGTTCGACTTTTCCACGATTAAGATGGTGTTTTTGTTAAATTGTACGTTGTAGTAATAGTTGCGTGTGGCGATCGTGACGCAGAGAGTTGAGCGCTGCCCTAGCGAGCCAAAGTTCCAATTATTTAATTGATTCAAACCCGACTATAGAAATTGTCGGTTTTTATTCGATCATCACCTCTGGGAAAGAAGTAAACCTGCCAAAAGTATTTTATCCACACTATATACGTATGTAGAGAAGAGTCCAATGCTCAAAAATCGAGCAGGAAATGCCTCTCGTGAACAGGCACTCGTCCACACGCACTGATTACATTTCTCGAACGCAGAGTATCCATTTGAACTTTCAGATCTTTTTTCCTTTGTTAGTTAATTTGAGTTTGTAATATTTTTCTTTCTGCTTGATTTCGTTAGATTTTAAGCTGTCGTTGTAACAAAGTTTACTCCCATTTAATTTAATTGTTAAGAAAAACATTCAATTAATTTTGCTATGTTTGTATCCTATAGTTGCATTTTAATGAAAAGAGCTTCTATTATTTTTGGTAGCTTTTAAAATATATTTGGTTGATGTGTTTTTCTAGCTTATCGACCAAAATTTAAAACTCTCATTATTTAGTGGAAGCAGTGTAGCGCGCGTCTAAAATGTGTATCTCAAAAGTGTATAAAGTACAAACGAAAACTGAGAAAGAGAGAGAAAGGTAAAAAAGAATTTATTCGTTATGAGACGCACAAATGGGTGCATCCCTACACGTTTCATTGGGGAAATAAATTTTTATTGGCGTTTCTCTATTCGCCCGTTAAGGGTTAACAAGATTGGATCAGCGGTGATGCGTCAGCAGCGATCGTGAGTAACGGAGGAATGCGCTCGTCAAGTGCCAGGGAATCGTTGACACGATCGCGCATCGGAGCGTCACCATCAATGAACGAGAAGGGAGACGAGGTCGTCGTCATCGTCGCTAACCTGTAGTAGAAATTCTTCCTAGAACCGAACCGATGACATACAGATAGAGATTAGTCATCCGGCCGATTCATTAATGCCGCGCCAATCGAATTAAGGCCGGGCTTTTCTCGCGGGCATTAAGTAGGTCGACCCTGGATACTGGTGGCTGATTAGCTCTCTCACGGTGCCGGCTGCTAGCGTCTCTTTCCCTCTGCCCTCCCCCCCCCCTCTCTCTGTCTCTCTGTCTCTCTTGCGTCATCGTAGTATCGAAGTCGACGACCTAGTTTTTCTCACCTCTGAGGTCAGGCGTTGGAGAAGAGCAAGGGGGTCCTCCACCCCTGCGAACGCTCTGGTTCGCTTACATCGTACTTCGCTTACTCGTGTCCCACGTAGAATTTTACCCACCGGGCTTTATCATCTCGCAAATATTATATTCATTTTGTGCAATATTATGTGTAACAACAAATATGTACAAACAATTTGCAATATCTTTTATATAACATTGTACGCTAATGTTGAACGAAACTTAATTTTTTTATATAATCGGTATGTTTTATTGAACTGTATTGAATTCTAGGATTCTATTGAGTTCCTGTCATGACTGCTTTTATTAAAATGACTTTCTATGGGTCTTCTGCGTGTTATTAGCATAAACTTTGAACGTAAAGTGATATAATTACGGGTGCAAATAGATTGAACTGTACCGTGATTTTATAGCTTTCGGTCTCGCCCCGACGAGTTCATTTCCGAATGACAATCGAAATTTCTAGTACAGCTTAATAAAACGGGTCGCCGATATTTATAGGATGGTACCAGGGCGCTCGCACAATCCAGGGTGTACCAGAAATCGATGAGCTTTCGTGCGCGCTCGCAGAAGGCAAGCAGTTTCCCTTCCCTCCGCAAAATAATGAATTCCCTCCTGATGTATTTCAATGTTGCGTAATGAATATTATGTTGCATAATGAATATATGAATATAATAAATTCCGTACATGTTTCCGTCTGTAAAAGAGCATCGCGTAATATAATAGAAAGAAAAATTACAAATTTGTAATTCTTTTAGTTCCATTTGACGAGCTTCTCACAAACTACCCCTTTCATAAACGATGATATTTAATTACTTTAAGGATCAATTAAAAATTACTAATATTAACACAACGAGATCAATCTCTTTCAATAAACACAGCTGCCACCTACGGAACTGTCGATCTTTCATTTATATCGTTTCCTCTTTCTTTTATTTCCAGAACACAATGAACGGACCAGTTTATGCGTCATCTTGTCCCGCATTGCAGTCGAATCTGTCGCTACACAGCTCATCCTATTACAGCGAATATAGCGGCACCACGCGAAGACGGCTATCCTCAACGGGCGAGGCGGATACTTCCGCAACGTCGAGTTACGAGGGTAGTGACAGCTCCGAGAACAGCGACGAGTCTCGTCTGGATCCGGTTAGCCAGATGGAACGAGAACAGCTCGAGACTTTCTTCCGCGGATTAAAATCGCAGGTGAGCTTCGTACGAAACGCGATGAAAACTACGCGCGCAATAAACATGCCAATTAAAACCTAAGCGGATTTATAAAAGAGATTTATCGCGCATTGTGCCACATAATTGTCCTAGCCCCAAATTCATGTGGTAAGTCGTTTAAGGGATAACGTCTGGCGTTTCGTGTTACGCAGGTATTCGTCTGCGAATCACTGGCGAACCTGTATCTCGGTAGCGCCTCTCAGACAGAGAGGTGGGAGCTCCGTTTCACCGGAATTCCCGTGGTGGTCCTTGATCTTGGGGAGACACGATCAAGATCCAAGAGGCGGATCCAGATCTTACTGGCTGAACGCGGTACTTGCTTCACTCTCTGGCGCGAAACTATCGACAACCTCTCATCGTACAAGGTAGAGTGTCATCGTTGATTATTCAGGCTCTCCGCAACCCTCTCTCTATCAATATGTTTTCAAAACGGGAATTATTACGGATGTATTGTTGCGCGAAATGTATGCGACATCCGATATTAATTAGCAGCGACAGATAATTAGTATTTATTCTCAGGATGCAATGTACAATAGAATTCAAGACGCGACGTTAATGGCAGATTGCAGCCATAAATAATTCATTTACGCGTTCGAGCTTCTTGTTTATCTCGTTAAATAGATTACGGCGCGCTGCATTACAAAGCGGATTAAATTTCAACACCGGACACTTAACACCGTTTTGAATTTCTCCCTTGTGCTTGCCAGACGAAATAAAACGCAAGTGGTCTGGCGTGATATGAATCGCGCAAGTATTTATTTAAATGTTGAAAGTGACTTTAAAAAGATCGCTCGTCGTGGAAAAAATACGACTTGCACTGTATTCTACAAAGCCATCGAAATGTTTACAGGTGTCGGGGCCAGCCTTCCACACGATGTGTCTCTCGTCGGACCACACGCGCCTGGCCGGGCTCAGCTTCGACAATTCAAAGGCAGCGAACGATTTGTGGCAGCACATAGAGCGTCTCGTGTCCTGCCCGGAGAACATCAGTCTGTCGGCGCCGGGTAAGAAGAAGAAGAAACCAGTGCAGAAGAAGGTGGTGCTGCCGGCGAAGAGCAACATCAGTCAGCCGTGCCAGTTCCAGCACGTGACCAGCGTGGACGCGGCCGATCGTTCGCGTTACTTCTCGCTGCAGACGCTGGTGCCGGCGCTGAGCGAGCTGGAGAGCTCGCTGGAGGCGAACTTCTGAGACAAGCCCAACGTCTCCAAGCTCTCATAGGGTCGGCGCAGCGCGACGCCCGACCCCCGCCTTCTTCCCCGGAAATAATTGCACCGAGGAGGAAGGATCCGGTTAATGTCGCGTGCGAGAGAAAACAGATGAAGTCTAGGGAACTCGCACACGGGCGTCTCGGATCGCGAATACGTCGAGAGCCGTTCGAAGGGAGGTGAACGCTAGAAGGCGACACCGTGGATTCCATCGGAAATCCTTTTATCTTCTTGCTCTTCCTCCGAAGTAGTTGTAGATGGTCTAAGAGCCAAGTCGGAGAGGAGATATATCGACGAAGCTTTAACGACGACAAAAAGAGAGGGCGGATACTTTTCTCCAAGAGCCCTCGCGGCTCCCGTAGTTTTACTCGGATTCATCTTTATCTTCTCTCGTGTCCCTCCTGATATAATCAGCCAACTAGTTGGTAAGAGTTAACGGTTAAGTAAGAGGCGCTGAATTCCGATTCCGCGCACTATCCTTGTTTCTCGCGCATCGACCAGCGTCGTTCCGGAACGAGAAGCTGAACCCGAGGGGCCTCGAAGAGACAAAGAAGCGCGGGGCGATCGTGACGCGACAGGAGGAAGGAGGTTCGTGTCTTCTCCGAAATAGACTAATCCGTTAGCGTCATGCGCGCAGAGTACGAGATCGTCCGCGGGCCAAGGCGGAACATTCATCAATCCTTCTAAGCACTCTCGAGAGCGACTGCGATTGATGTCCGCGAATCCTGGCTGCAGCCCCGGGCGAAACAGAAAGTATCCCCGAGGCTCTCTGGTGAGACTCTCCGCGTCGCGCACCGTTCCACTCTGCTTCTCTTCGAGGAGTCCTTCGAGTCGTAACTATCGATGTCGTGAGATTTATTATAGACGCAAAGAAAGTCTCTATCAAACGTTACGGCGATAAATGATCTATACGTGATAAACGTTCTCGTCCGGAGAACGCTTTTGATAGATTATTTCATTATCATCAATGCAACCGCCCGAGTATACGGCGTGAAACTTTTTCATTTCCGGATGAAGTAGGAAGAGAAATCCAATCAAGGTAAAAATTGAAGGTGATGATGTAAATGATAGAAATAAAGATTCATGTTTTAATTACGTATACAAGGCACCTTTACCGCCTTTTAATTTCGTGTAAAATAGAGAAATTTTCGTTTATATATCCTTACTTCGCGCGTACGACGATTCCACGCGTACGTATTTTAATGGATCTTTAGAGATTCAAAAGAGCAGGACGGCCGACCGTCTTATCGCATTTTGCAATTCGAATGCGGCGATGTAATGTGAGGGGAAGAACAAGCGCTTTCGTAATGGAATGTCAAAGACGCGAAACCTTGACACGAAAACCAAACAGCGAAACATGCGATTAGAAAGAATCATGCAAATATATGCAAAATATATTTCCGGGGGCATCGTATCGGTTGTATACACATTGTTGCTATTCACTGCGGAAAGAACGCTTTCTCCCCGGCGAGAACAACCCGTACGGTTGTTCCGTACGGTTTGTAATTAAAGGCGCGCGCACTGCCGCGGTGAAAACAGCATCAAAGAGGCATTCAAAGTACACGATGTGAATAATTGCGACGAAATCGTGGCTACGACGAAATTAAGTTCCATGCTTTCCCGACTGCATTCACCGTAAAATGCCAATAACTTCACGAGGAAAGACTTGAAAATGGAATAGCAATTATTTTCAATTGAAAGGAAAATCTACTTGCTTTACTGTTGATAAAGGAAAGGCCTGCCAATTTAACACACGTCGCAGCAATGCGACTTACTGTAGTAATTCAAATGATGTTAGACAAGACGTTAGAGAAAAACAATTGACACCATCGAAAAACAAGAAGCCAATTCTTCATAACGTAGAATGTTGACATAAAATGTCGTTGACTTAAAAATGTTAACACGAAACCATAAATTCCTTGACGTCTCTATGTTGTGGATTCATAATTATAAGTACGCAAGATTGATGTGCGATTTCGGTAAGCGATAGAAGTCGATAAATCAAAGAACGAAATACTGCCGAACATTTCAAATGCAAAATAAATTAAGATTGAGAGCGACGGCGAATACTGGAAACAAACATTGTGCCAAAACGTACTTGAACCAAGAGAGCTGGTTTTAATTAACTGATATTTCAGTATCATGCGCTTCCACTTCACACAAGACTTGAAAAGCCAGTCCGCAATGCAATTAAGATTATTACAACAAACTGACCAGCGTGTTTCCAGTAAGCTCGTGACGCTCGCGTAACACATTACGATGTTAATTAGATTACTAATTAGATAGAATTAGTCGAATTGACGTGTCCATCTATATCGAATCCTACTTCCTACTCCTCGAGTCGTTAATGTGTCTGTAGATTTCGGTAGAAATTCTCGATCTTGTTGTCGACAACGTGTACGCTCGATAAAATGTTAAGCTATGAAAATCAACAATCATCAATTCTATCCAAGTGAAATAATATTAAAGAATTGATATTCAAATAGACATTCTTGGGTCAAACTGGGACGTTCTACATCGCAGTAAAAATATTATCCTCGCAAGGATAATTTAACTCGACATCTCGAACCCGTAACTCTTCGTAAATATTGTCTTAGCACAATCGGTCTTTTTAATTTCGTGAAATTTCTTTTCGATCTTTCTTTCGTATTATTTCACTTAGACGTACTTGGTCCATAACTGAAAACGGAGATGAGTATTCTTCCCGAGAAGGTCGCGCGCGAGAATGTCGTTTTACGACGTTCGTAAGAAGACTGGTTTCACCATTCCGCGAGTGTAGGCACAGTTTAACAATAGGTACCTATGTAGTAATAGTGGTCATTAAGACGGCTTGATTTTAACCTTAGGATCATCATCAGCGAACGTCTCTTCAGCGTCATCCTCGTTTATATCGCTTCGAAACTTCCGTTTCGCTGGGCGGAGAAACGCGCACGCGTGTTTCGCTTTATATCCATTGCGAATCAAACCTTTAGCGACTAAGATTTTAATTAGCGTGTCAGTACATCTAAGTTAGGCTCGCCCGGAGGAATCTTTTACCATATTATCCGAGATGTATGTAATGCTTTCCGCGGGATTTATACGCACACTTTGGTCATGTGAGTCGTAAGTTTCTTTTAGGAGAAGTTCTGGGCGAATATTCTAGGCATTTAAATAGATACAGTAACTTCGAATTAATACTAATTTCATTATCTACGACTGTGATATAAATATATGTATTTGTATCGTTACGTTTCGTAACATATATCCGCATTAATCAATCACTTGGAGACATAAGTTTATGAATATCCAATGTAATGATAATTATTGTGCTAATAAATAGTAACTTCATGAAACAAAATAATGGTCTGAATTTACTGGATTTACGACCTTTTAAATTATTGAAGAAATAAAAAGAATTTTATGTAAGAGTAGCTTCTATAATTATTATTACTGTGACTGATAATAATCTCCAAATTAATTAAAAACTTATTTTCCATATTTTTTTCAATTACACGTATTTGAATTAACTATATTCCCTCTATCTCTTTATTTTATAATTAAAAAGAGATGTGGGAAAAAGATTGTAGAATAAATCGTAAGTGGAAATAAAGCAAAACAAATAAGAGTATAAGTGTTATACCAAAAAGAGACTATTGTTTCTTAAAATAAATTAACTTTATTAAAGAAAAATGTCACTTATAGTCGCCAGTGATGATTAAAAATTAAAACAGTGAGCTTATTGTCAACCCAACTGGCAAATTTTATTAAATTCGTTACGTTTCGATCTTACTTCTGGTCCTTTTCAAGCAATTCAAATAAGGTTCAGTTTAAATCGCACCTCAGTAATGTTCGGATGTGCGCTTATTTTTATCTTTTGACTCTACCTCACGGATGATGATGTCTAGCTTGACTAGAACTGTCGAAAACTACAGTTAGACCTGCTGAAAATCATCAGCACGGCACATTTTCACTGAGTGTCGTGCTGGTCGCCGATATGAAAAATTGTTAAAAAATTGTTAACGATGTAATATCGATTTGAAATTGCATATACATGTAAAACTTGAGTAGAACTATCAGGAACTTAGAGAGGAGGGTGTCGTGCTAGATTCGCGAAATTAGCACAGTTTTTTAAAAGTTGATTTTTTCATCTAAAAAGTGCGGAACTCTTTCTCATTTTTATCAGGAACTGTAGAGCTATGAAAAATGCTATTGGAACTCTTAGTATTTTTTCGAAATTCGTAGAATGTCGTGCCAACTTCACAGACACGATGAGTATACCGTTATTCGGTATCGCACATTTGCTACAAGATAAGGGATCGTTGAATAATCTGTTCGAAAGATTCTGCAGAAACCAGCTTTATCGAATGGCGTTGCTGTTCGCCGCGAGAAAATCCCGTATCCGAAAATATTTATCCGATATTCTACCTATGATGCTAATCGATGTTACATTTTAGACTTCGTCAGTGGAAAACTAATGTTTTGAATATATACAATTGTTAAACTGAATTTATTCTGCACTTCATATTTTACTTATTTGATGTCAGGCAAAACTGAAAACGTCGCAAATTCTCGTTTAGATTCGTGGTCGCAAGTCACGTCGCTTATTAATCAGCTTATTGTCACTATCGGGAATGTTATTAATAATTTTGTATTTCGAATTTTATTGTGGCTTGCTGCGGAAATGGAGAAACCGATGTAATATCAGTGCAACCTAATAATCATGATTTATGCAGGCATTATTCGTTATGAAAACCGATACTTGAACGCCTGTAGTTGCGCGAGGAATCGATAAATCACGAATACACGTATCAACGATATTTTCTCTGTATCGATCTGCGGCGAATAAATCATATAATGGGCCGCAAATATATTACCGCGCACCGCCGAAATCGCGATGTGTATCTGCCGAGGAATCCCGCGTTTTGACGCGCTTATACTTTGTACTCATCATGTATCGGAGGAGGCCGCCTATGTATCTGGGTGCTCCAGATAGATGCGTCCGATATGGAGATCGGTCGGTTGTCGAGCCGGGTCCCGAACCGAGTAATGAGAGACTCAGTGCCGCCTCCCGTGTATCTCGCCCTCCCTTGTTTATGGGAATCATCGGATTTACATCAGAGCGATCGTGTGAGTGGATCTCGAAGGAGGGTACGCGAGAGAGTGGGTGGAAACGATGCACTTGCTCTCACATATTAGACGTGCGGGAAAGTGTTCCTTGAGTGCGACGGCCCTTAAAAAAATGTCAAGTCGGGAATCCCATCGTAGGGAACGATAAGCTGTCGGAAGAGAGAAATGCTTTCTCCCAGAATAAACGGTCTATTTGAGACGTGATGTCGCAAGTATCGAATTTCCAGCGGATATCCATGTATTTAGACATGGATTTGGATATAAATGTATTTTCCAGTTAACAATTTTCCAGCAAGTTTCATTTTGCTAAACTTGTTAAATAAAAACCGCGAAACACAACATACAGAACAATATTTGTGGCCAATAATTCATACACAGAAAGAAAAACCAGTTGGTATATTTTAGTTTCTAGATGTGTATCGAATTTAGTTGTTCTGGAAATTTAATTTGCACACATATTTCGTGCACGTTTGTTGACTCTACGTTTGTTAAAGTTAGTAAGGGCGACGAACTCCAGTTTTTCTTATTTATTCAAGCATTAAACAGATATTTTTTAATACGTTTACTAATTTTATGTTTTTCGCGTAACTAAAAACCGGTGCAACGCCAGCATTATTATTTTAAATATACCTGAACATACATGCGTAGTTTTCCTTTTACCATTATACACATACAAATTCGGCCCAAATGCCAGAGTATCGTCGAATCAAAAAGAATTATCACTAACGACATGTGTATAATTCATATATTACTAGCGGCCTTACCCGGCTTCGCTCAGACCTCCTTTCTCTTGAATCATCTTTTTGTGAATATCGTTCCTGTTCAATATATTTTTTAAATTTCCCTTTATATATCCCTCAATTCTATTTAAATTTATTTTTCCAGCTCCTCTCGGGTCCATAAATACACAATAGCGACCCCAAAAAATATTTTTTCCCCCAAAATACGGGATCTCGAACCCAAAATAATTGTTTTATTTATACCGCAGTAAAATTAATTTGGTTACTTACCATCTCTATCTCATTATTATTATTATTATTATCATTAGTTAAATTTATTTTAATTAAATTTCAAACTTTACGTCTTCAAAATTATGGGTTTTTGACCTATATCCAATTAATGACAATTAAAATACATTTCACGAAATCTATCTGCGTGATTCAAAACATCAATAATATATTATACAAATGATCTATTCTATTGTATTAATTTTTATATACTGTAATATTCACATTTATTGATTTCTGAGAGCAATTGTTGGTTAACCTAGTTTATATTAGCCTATTTTTTTCGCAAAATTCTAAAATAACATTGTCAAAATCTGTTTAAATCTAGATGGGTTTAGATATTAAAATTCATTGATTTCAGGGTTTAACTTTCCAACTTTAATAATTTCAGGAGGCAAAAGTTGGCTATCCAGATTAAAAGATAGTCTATATTTTTCGCAGAGTTTCACTAAATAACTATGTCAAATTTGATTCAGATCGGTCCATTGATATAGAAATGTATAAAGAACATACGGACAGACAGAATTTTATTTTTATATATAATGAGATAGCGGAGTTTCAGCTAAATTAATAGGTATCATATGTTATTCCAGTACGAATTTATTGGCCTTGAGGTACTGTTTAGTGGAAAATTGACTGTTAGATTGTGTAATTGTTGCAAAAAAAGATTTGTGATTGAATTTGGACGTGAAAAACCTGCTATCTCATGTTAGAATCCCATGTCATAATAGAGGACTTTCCTCTACAGATTTTGTAAAAAAATCTTCCTCTCGAGGAGCGTTTCGTATATTAAAATCAGTATGCTGCTGTATATTGATACTGATACCTCACAGCGGTGGCACTACCGACGGCGTATCGATCGATCAATATTTCGGTCCTCATTCTTCGCAAATCAATGAGCCAATGTCGCGACGATGTTCGCTAAAAATAATATACTATTAAGTAACGTAAGAAGTTCGAAACGCTTAATGCTCTATTTGGACTTTAAATGTAAAATAGGCGATGCGATATTTAATGTTATTAACGTTGCTAATTTCGAGGATACACGTATGGCTTTACGTCAAAGCGCACAATCGTTGAATATGCATGATCGACATTTACATGATGTTTACGTTAATGGCGCTATGCAGCAAAATATTGTTTAATATAAGCTCAATAAACGCTAGATGAGACGTGCTTTTATAGGTACAAGCGTAATTTGTGCGTACAGTAATCGGTTTCGTACGCTATAACGGCTCATCTAACATCCCAGCCATCTTGTCCATAAATCATATCATTGTACTATTTTTCAAACGAATAAATGTTTCTCTATAAACTAAAATCGAAGCGCAACGGATCTTAAATATCTCTACAAGAAATTCAAATGCATGTAGCGAGAGAAAGAGAAATCTGAAAAATATCAAACGTCTCCTCGGATCCTATTCGACCGAAGGAGTTCGATTCGTTCGTAATCACATATTGAAGAAAGTATAACGTCGCGATTACGTGAGTTGATTTTCTCTCGCTAAATAGGACATTTGTTTTACGCGGTCGCGAGGGAAAAAGAGACTCGGCGTGGGCGGTTCGTTCATGTGCAATTTGCAATTCTAAAGCCCGCGCCTCGTCACCTCGTCGAAGTTTCCGGTCACGGTTCATTGGCGCGAGATGAGTTTGAGCCGGCTCGATCGTGCGGTGCGATCGATTAGCACTTCGTACCTCACTGACGAACAAGCGGCTAATTATTCGTCGACGAGGCGAGGAGGATTGTATGCAAAAACCGCGTCGGTCGTCGCACCCGGAATTGCAAACGGACGCGGACACCTCTGTCGCCGTCGCCGGTTCGATTCGGCTGGCGTTTCGTTCGATTCTCATGCCGCGGCTCAAAACCTACATTCCTAAACGAGATAGCAGATCGCCGCGCCGTAGAAACCGCATTAACATTCTTATCGCGTCGTACGCGACGACCGGCTTTGTCGCCGACGTCCCGCGATGCATAGCGAAAGTAAGGACGCAGCGGTATTGAATGCTCTCATTCCGAAGTGTTGGGAAAATTAACAAGCGTCACACGCAACTTATGCAAATCCCAAAGCACACGCCGGCTACAGAGAGAAGAAAACACTTCATTCCGTTTTTCGTTCGATATTAAGGAAATTGAAAATATCCTTCATCGCATTGTCGGCCCGGTTTATTGTGCGCGTGAAATTTCACGCCATCGTTGCGGATCATTCCCTGATAAAACGTTTTC